AAGGGTCAAAATCAACATATCAAAAGCATATTGAGATCAGGTGCCATTGGCATAGTTCACATTTAATGAATTTGTTTCAACATTGTGATAATCTGAAATTCTTTAAAAGTATTTAGAATTCCAGATTATCAATATCAGAAGGATATTGTCAAGCTGGAACATTTCCAGAGGAGGGTGACCAAAATGGTAAAAGATCTGGAAGCGATGACTTCTGAGGAGTGACTTTGGGAGCTGGGAATGTTTAGCTTGGGGGAGGGAAGGCTAAGAGGGGGCATAATAGCCATGTTTAAATATTTGAAGGGATGTCATAATGAAGATGGGCCAAACTTAATTTTGCTGCTCCAGAGACAGAGCAATTTAATTCAAACCCCTGGTAAAGAGTTTCTACCTAAAATTTGGAAGAACTTTCTAATGATAAGAGCTGTTCAGCAGTGGAATAAGCTGCCTCAGTGGACTCTCCTTCTTTGGAGGTTTCTAAACAGAGGTTAGATGGCTGTCTGTCAGGAGTGCTTTGATTGTGTATTTCTCCATGGCATGGGTATTGGATTGGATGGCCTTTGTGCTGTCTTCCAACTCTATGATTCTGGTTTATCAGAACTGGGGTATTGTACTAGTGCATGGAATTGTAGTAGTGCATCATTGCCACTGCTCACAGGAGTGGCTAAACAGATCAAAGACAATCTGTGATTCGTTGTGACTTAAAAAGCTAGTTATTCTAAATTGATTCTTCCCAGAGACACAAGTTATGACATGCTCTTTTGATTCTGGCCTGTCAAGGGATAAACAATTCAAAATGCAAGACTTGTATGTCACAAGAAACATACTATGGATGGGATATGGTTTGTTTAGGAATGAATGTGCAGTCAGCATAATGACTAAGAATTCTTGTGCATTCTGAACACAATCGGGGGGCCATGGTTACAGAAGACAATCCCATTTATTACCTCTTTATGGGATCTAAGAATATTGAACAAAAATTTACACATTGCTTGAACCAGTTTCTCTTCTGACTCCATCTGCTCATTCCTTTTTACGGTCCAATCATTAAAAGGATGATCTAAACCTTTTGCTGTCTTCAAGAGGAGAAGGGGTGGGGGGAACGACAGCTTTTTTGGGTACTCCTTCCTACTTAGTTTCAAAGGACAGTGGGAAAACATCTCTCTCATTGCACCTAAGTTGAGCAATAGTTTTAAATGAGCACGGGAAAACTAACTTCTAATTCTGAAAATAAGAGCATGATTCTTAGCACCGAGATTATTTTCTACAGTCCTGAAAATCGTCACGTGAAAAGACCACACACATCTTGGATATTCTGAAAGCACATTGTTGTTGTCTCAATAATGGGATAGTGATAGATACAGAGTGCTAGAAATGATTATATTGAATTGGCCTTCTGCTACCCAGAAGAAAGAGAGTACCTAATCCATAACTGTCAGATTACCTTGGTAAAACGCTTCCAGCTTTATGACTGGTTTTGCAAAAGGACCATTTTATATATTTTGTACATATTCCAGAGAAATTAAATGTGTTTGGAGTCACTGAATGATTGTCCTACCACACAGAGTGCAGCCCTCTTTACTAGAATTGCTTTATGTGGACTTCATATAGCATGAAAACTTTAAAGCAAATATTCTAACCCCAGATGATTGTTTTTGGTAAAAGGCTTCTTGAGACTAACTGAATTGTTCTGAAAAAGATTTGCTGTCTTGGTCTCTGAATAAATGTCTCCTGAAGAGATGATCAAGTTCATTTAAAAGTTTTGTAAAGAGACAGCTGTAATTGTGCAACCTCTACTCAGGTTGCAGAATTTGTCTACTGATACTCACAAGAGCTTCCATACATTCTTCTTTATTCATATGCAACTTGCCATTTTTGTCCTCTAGGTGAAGCGGAATAGCACTCCGCCACTCTCCCTCTATGGCCAGTTGCTTTGGAGAGAATTTTTTTATACAGCTGCCACAAACAATCCCAAATTTGATCGCATGGAAGGGAACCCAATCTGTATTCAAATCCCGTGGGACAGGAATCCTGAAGCTTTGGCAAAGTGGGCAGAGGGAAAAACAGGCTTCCCTTGGATTGATGCTATCATGACACAACTGAGACAGGAAGGCTGGATTCATCACCTGGCCCGGCATGCTGTGGCCTGCTTTCTGACCAGAGGTGACCTGTGGATCAGCTGGGAGTCAGGTGTGAGGGTGAGTCATGGCAGGTGGAGGCAAAATGTGTATGTTGAGAACAGGGAGACTTAAGAGTGAACATGGCAGTGAGTGAGTAACCTCAGATATATGGGGTGCGGGACTACTATTTCTGACTGTAGTTATTCTGTAAATCTGTATGTTATTTGCTTGTATAGCATATCTGTATCATCCTCTGTTCTATGCAGACTTGGAACAGTTATTGAGGAAAGCCAAGCAAGAAAGTACAAAAGGAGGGTAACAGCTAAATATTAAGAAAACAAAAATAATGACCACAGATGATTTATATAACTTTAAAGTAGACAGTGAAGACATTGAAGTAGTTAGATTTTCTGTACCTTGGCTTAGTCATAAATCAAAATGGAGGAATCAGAAGCAGACTCGGAGAAACCAGAAGAAGACTAGGACTTGGCAGGGCAGTTATGATAGACAAAATCTTCAAGTACAAATATGTATCATTGCATACCAAGGTCAAGATTTTCCATGCCACTGTATTTCCAGTTTCTACCTATGGTTGTGAAAGCTAGACAGTGAAGATAGCTGAGAGAAAGAGAATTCATTTGAAATGTGGTGCTGGAGGAGGGTTTTACAGATACAGTGGACTGCCAAAAAATCAAATTAATGGGTCCTAGAAAAAAATCAAGCTTGAATTTTCCCTAGAAGCCAAAATAACTAAAATGAGACTATTGTACTTGTACATATCCAGAGAATGCATGATTCACTAGAGAAGACAGCGGTGTGGTAAGGTAGAAGTTAATAGGAAAAGAGGAATACCACATTCCAGATGGACAGACTCAATCAAGAAAACCATGGCCCTGAGTCTGCAGGACCTGAGCAGGGCTATTAATGACAGGGTGACTTGGAGATCTCTCATTCACAGGTCTCTCATTCACAGGGTAATCATAAGTCAAAATCAACTTGAAGGCACTTAATAAGAAATTATTCTCTAAGTCCTGAGTCACTAATTCTTGACCCGTAAGATTTGTTGGTTGCTTTAAGCATTTTTACTCTTCAACTGAAAAAACTGCCACCTAAAATTATATTCCTGACCTATTCATCAAAATGTGCATGAACAGCTTAGTATTCTCTCTGACTCCTTCCACTAAGGTCTGGACTTTTCTCATTGTGCACCCTTTCTTTTATTTGTCATAGGTATTTGATGAGCTGCTGCTGGATGCAGATTTCAGCGTGAATTCAGGCAGCTGGATGTGGCTTTCATGCAGTGCTTTCTTCCAACAATTCTTCCACTGCTATTGCCCTGTTGGCTTTGGCCGGCGCACAGATCCCAGTGGTGACTATGTCCGGTGAGCATATTGGCCAGTTCTATCACTGAATCTTACCAATTCTGTCAACCAAGGCTTCTCAGTTACATCAGGAAGGGGAGTGGTGGAAAGAGGGTTATTCCATCTTCACTATTTATAAGAGACTAGTTGCCTTTGGCTCCTTTACTGGAAGAGATTTTTGTCCAGCTGCTCATTATAAGAGCTAGGTTTTAACCTTAATAATTGGTGCCTGAGGATTTTTTCCCCACTCATACCACCTCACTGTTTTTTTTTTCTTTTTTGTTGTGGTTTTTAAATTATAAGCCTGTGGGCAGGGGTTATCCAGTATAAACTGTTCTAGCTGAAGAACAGGTTAAAATGCTTTTAATTAGAATTCAGGTCTATTTCTATATGTAATTGGGGCTGCTAACAAGATGCATACATTGCTTTCAGTGTTAAATAAGTTTCTCAATTTGTACTGCAGACGATATCTACCCAAGTTGAAAGGCTTTCCGTCACGCTATATCTATGAACCCTGGAATGCTCCTGAATCAGTGCAGAAGGCAGCAAAATGTGTAATTGGGGTAGACTATCCCAAACCCATGGTGAACCATGCAGAGACCAGCCGACTGAATATTGAGCGCATGAAGCAGATCTACCAGCAGCTATCGCGTTACAGAGGTCTTTGTAAGTACTGGCAGCCGCACAATACTTTTTTTTTAATTGTTTGTTATATTAAACTTTAATATAAACAGTAAAACAACCAAATAATTCAGTTTAACGAACAATACAATGCACAAACACCTACAATTAATAACAAACACACCTTCCACACAAACTAACATATAACCATGACACATCTATTAATATGAGTTAAACAAATTTATAGATTATAAACTAAACATACAAGATCCATAATGTCTTGTCTATATACTTTTGATTTGTGCTATAGAAGATAACATATTTTGATGTCATTCAGTTTGTACAAGACAGAAATAGTTACTTAGCCACAGTAATCATCAGTGTTTCTTGCAGGCCCATGTACTGCTTGGTGTAGGGGTTGTAAGGGCAAAGGAGGGCGGAGGTAAAACTTTCTTCTTTGGACTTATAACTGAACATCAGTTACAGTCTGCTAGGGATCTCTCGTGCGTAGTATACATTGATTGTGATAGTTAAGATATGGTCAGAACCTTAATCTTTTATTACTCTGGATCATCACACTATGGAGCACATCCTGTTATTCAATTATATTGATATAAGTTAGACTTATAACCTTGTAACTGTTTTATATTCACATTTATAATCTTGGTACTATTTCCACAATTGCAAAAGCCTCCAAATCCCACCTTAAAATCCAGCCAGCTGCACCAAGGAACAGAGTTCTACAGTGGGGTTTAGGGTGCAATGAGGAGCAATTTGTTGTCGTCATTACATGCCTTCAGGTCAGCCCCATTTTATAGCAATCCTATCATAGGATTTTCCTGGGAAAACTTCTTCAGTCTGAGAAAGTGTGACTTTTCCAAAGTCACTCAGTGGTTTTCTGTGTCTGAGCTGAGAGTTGAACCCTGGGCTCCAGGAGTCCTAGTCCAGCACCCAAACCACTACACCACACTGGCTCTCAATAAAAAGCATACTAGTTTCTAAATGCAAACACTTACCTTGTTTTTCCCCCCTTTAGGCTTATTGGCTTCTGTCCCTTCCTGCATGGAAGACCTGAGTAACCCAGCCACAGACCCTTCTTTGAGCCAGGGAAGCTGCACCAATACAAGTAAGCTGGTGTTTTCTGTAAATTATGTGATCCTTTTGATGGTATTTTGAGAGCCCAACAACAAAAGTAAGATTAGTTTCTGCAAGAAATGGAGGTGGTAGAATCTAGTTAACTCTTTCCTGCTAGAGTTGCTTCAGACTTCAGTGGGGCCTCTTTCTCCAGAGGTTCTCTCATCTCATGTGGGGCAGTGAATATTTTCTGTGCTCTGTTGTACACAGGCATGAGAGGATATTTAAAAGGAGAAGCTGGAATTAACTGATACATATTTTAAATGCTTACCAAGAGGTAAAGGGGAAAATATCAGTACTGCCTTTTGAATAAAATAAAATCATAAGGGAAATGGATATAATTTCTCCTCCTTAGTGCATTTTCCCATTCAACTAGTATCTGTGTCATTCTGTGTTGCAAAATCTTTGCACTTTTGCTGCCCCTTTAAGCTGCTGCCAGTCCCACAAAACCTCCTAAAACCACCACCACCCTGCCATAATTTTCTTTCAAAAATAATTGACAGGATTTTCCAGTGGTTTTTCACCCAGAAGATTGACAGACTGTCCCAGTGTGCAACAAATGTGGAAATACACACATACACTCAAGCCCCCAACCACTTCTGTTTTTCTCAGAGTACCTCTCAAAATGGCAACAAAAAGTCCATTTACTACTTTAAGAGGCACTCTGAATTAAAATGGAGGTATTTTGGCATGTTGAGGGGTGCATCCTGCAGTAAATTTGGGTGGGTAGAATTGTCCCCTTGTTACCATGGAGTTGCCCACCTCTGCTCTAGAGGAACATTAAAGTTATGGTATTTTTAAAACCTTTTTGTAGCATTGAGGCAGACTCATTGTGGCCAGATGTCTCCAAAACGGAAGCACGATGTTGTAGAGGACCATAATGAAGAGTTGTACAAACGAGCAAAGGTGATGGCTCCACAAATTCCAGTGAATCCACAGCAATAAACTGTTCATGTAAGTATTTAGCATAAGCTTGGAATTAAATCCACATGGTTAACCAAATAAGTTACTTAGATTTATCTTCCAAGAATACCTTTTCTTCATCATTACAGCTGAAGGATGAAAACAGGAATCCTATGCTTGGCATCCTGGGGCAGCTGTCATGATTCCAGCAACCCAGCATGCCCAACTACTATTGTCTGCTCTGGATTATCCTTGAAATCTTTTGTTCTGGCCTCCTGCTACATCTAGTAACACCAGAGAGTTGAATCTAACCTCCATTTTGATGGAGCACATGTACTGTTCCTTTGGGGCATTCTGAGAAATTAAAATGGTGGCTAGGTCTAGCTGACCTGCCTAAATATCCTAAAGGCACCAGATCCCTCTGAGTTTGGATGCTAAGTATGATAAGCTCTGGTTTGTACTTGGATGGGATGCCACCAGTGAAGACCACATGATATAGGCAAAGGAAGGAACTGGCAAAACCACCTCTTGAGTATACCTTGCCAGTAAAACCCTATGAAATTCATGTGGTCACCCTAAGCTGACAGGTGACTTGAAGGCACATACAAACAAAAATGGCCTAACTGAAGCAGCACTGACAGTTCAGTCTTCAAAGGCCCACTATTGGGGATGGGGTGAGGTTTGAGTTATACCTCTGCTGCCACCAGATATGAAGGCTTCCACTAATCTCATCCACTGCAACCAAATGTGAGGGTTTCCCCTTATCCTTACCTCTGCTACCAATGTAAGGACCACCTCCTGTCTCACCACCATGGCCACCAACTGTGGGGACCTTCTAGGTGCCGTCCTGGTTCCTGTGCCAGATATTATTCATCTCGTATCCCTGCTGGATACCACTACTCCTTCTTAACGGTTGCTGCCCCAGACACTGAGTCTGAACACAGGTTTCACATACATAGCATTCCTGGAGGCCAAAAGTGTATAATACAAAAATAATACTTTATTAACAGATTTGAATATAAAATAAATTTATTATTATTAATTATTAATACATTTAAAACACATCTCTCACTCTTACCTCCTAGTAAAATCAAGCCCTTCCTAACTGTCCTAACCATTCAGACCCTTAAAACTCACCCATTAACTAAGCATGACAGACTACTCACTTTTGCTAACCCAGACAGACTAATCTTTTCATTCTCCCTCACCAACTGTCATAACACCAATCTTACTGCAGTTTCATATTTGTTGCCTACTTCCAATTTTCTTTTGCTAAAATCCCCCCAAAATCCAGCCATTATTTCAATGAGACAGATAGGGACAGATATTGAAAGTGACTTGTATTCCTCCCCCCCTCCTGGTACATTGTTAAAATTCAAAGAAAGGCTTTTCCCCAAGCTTGCTCATCTGGCTATAAAAGTAGATGTAGATGTGAAAGTTCCACTTTGGGTACCTTGAAGCAAAATGGAGAACCTCTTGTTCTTCTCAGATGATGTAACATAGTAACACTGAAAATTATAGGAGATGTTTTACCAAATAAGTTCTCGAGAACACAGTCGTCTGATGGACTTTTAAAGTTTTTTACTGACCGGGCTGGAGTAGGAAATGATATTTTGCTACATTTTTCATATCTCTTTTATAATCTGCCTGAATAATGGGTTGCAAATTGGTTTAATAAAATTACAATATATAAACAACCCCCCCCCCCGAATAATGTTGTCTCTTATGTCTTATTCCTTTCATTTGAAAACCTTGTCAAGTTAGAACTTGGCTGCCCAATAGCAGAGGCCAGTGTTATTTTTTTCAGTCTTAGTTCTTTCATCTTAGAATTATCCACTTGAAAATTACTCTCCCTATTTCTTTTGTAAAGAGAAAACATTGCATTGTACTCCACTAGCTTAATTTTCATTCCCTGTTCACATGGAAGAATTTTATATATTTATCAATGTGCTTCCTTTAAGGAGTTCAAAGCAGCGCAAGCAGACATAATTCCATTTTAAAGCTCCACAGTAACCCTGTGAAGTAGGCTGATAGAGAATCAGTGACATGAATAAAGCCATTCTTTGAAACTTATGACTTTGATTGACATCCAGGTCTCCTTGATCCAAGTCAAACACTGTATCCACCTCTTTGACTTTCCTTCATACTTAGAAGTCATTTATCATTCTGTTATTCCCTGTATTATGTTCTTCCATTCTTGATTGCTTCCTGCTTTCCTGGCTTCATTTTACCTTTTCAATGTTCTCTTTATGTTTTTATTATTAGTAATTGTTTTTCTCCTTTCCCATTAAGAACTAGAGTTCTTCACCCTTGGATTCCTCCCTCTTAACCATATTGCTTTTTCTCTAAACATTCATGATCTCTTTTGTTTAATGACCTGCAATTCTACACTTCTGCTACTGATCTCTTTTCATTGTCTTCTTCTTCTGACTTGATAACATGTCAGTTACTTTATTTAAAGCTGATGTTGCCTGTCATCTTCCTTTATCTGTACTTTTTTCACCTTTTCTTTCAGTCAGTTGAGTACAGAACCTTGGATTTCTTTAAAGATGTGTACTCTTTCCTTTTTCTTTGGGCTGATAAAAACACCTTGTTACCAACTTCTTAAAATTACCAAATTTGGGGACTCGCTGCAAAGACACTGTCTTATTATTTGTCCCCCACTTGACTGCTGTGATTGTCATTCTCGTTTGCATCTTTCTCTTTATTCTCTCTCTTTTTGAACTTTTGATGTTCATTTGGATTTTTTTCTGAGTCTTGTTTTGCCCACGTTTTGTTTCATCACACTGTCTTTGTTGGCATTTTTCTTTATTACTTGATTCAGTTTGTTACTCTTAGTTTTTAAAATGTGCACAATTGGGGGCCTTGTTCTAGTGTTTCATCTCTCTGTTTCCTTCCTTCCTTTCTCCTAATATCCACTCTGCCAATACACTCCTTTGGCTAAATAAATAATGAAACTTGCCAACTGCCATTGCCTTCTTCCTTGCAAATGTTCTGTACATCTTAAAGCACCTTTTCTCCTACTCTTTAATTTCTAGCTTGTGCCTCTCCTTGCTTCTTCTTAACTGCCTTGCTCTATTTAGATAGCAATTTGGCAGCTGAGTTTGATCTTTTAAAGCTAGTGTTTCTGGCATTTTACAAATACAAACAATAGTTGTTAGCATTACTTCATTAATCATCAATTGGTGGGGTGGTAGGTACAAGTGAGTCATGCTTGTGAGCTAAGGTGGACCATGTTGATACATGCTGCATATGAGAGTTAAAAGTGGGTCTGACAATTACTGCAGTTATTCTGAATAAGAACTAGGAAGCACCATTTCACTGGAAATCAGTTTGTGCTTCTGGAGTAAATTGCCCCACCTTCTATGCAGGTGAAAACATTAATGTCTGCATTCTTTCATTTCTTTACAGCCTGAAATGGGAAATAAACAAGGCCAGAAACATGTTTTGAAATGGATGCTACGGTGGCTGAGAAGAATTTCTTCCAGAAGAATTAGATCATTGACTAATAACATTATATCTCTTAAGTGTGTGGACGTTTAACACAGATAACTGCAATATGACAGCTCTTGGACTCCTGTACAGAATGCAGTAAGCAGGCTTCATTAATAAGGAAAAAGTGCTGGAAATCAAATCTCTGCTTCTCCTGAGAAACAGTTGGAATCAGCTCACAAAAGACTTGGGATAATACTTTGAAATCTAGTTACCTCAGATGTGCTCCATTTACCATGCAAAATATTTCATGGTGCTTTCTCACTATAGTTCCAGGAGCTGCAACTATTAAACACTCCAGAACACAGTTTCTTGACATTTGAGCAAAATGCAAGAGCATAATGCTTCAGGTGGGTATCAATAAAAATGAGTGGTTAGCCTAAGGGTAGCATGTGTTGATGTATATAAATGGACAATATAGTAACCACAATGACCAGTTTGATGT